TTCTGTAACTGTGAGTCATCCTGGGATTCACTCTGATGAGCTGAAAACATAATAGTTATTTCTCATATGAATTGCTCGCTCGTTAATTTATGTTTTGCTAAATTTTTTTTCTTCATAAAGTTTAACTGATTATCTTGTAATGGCTTCACTGTCCAAAATTTTCGCGGCAACAGCGACGTATTCTTATCAAGTGGTTAGAGCTAAACTTCAAGTAAGGATGGGAGATTCATTAGCAAGCTATTAACCTTTTGAAATAGATTTTCTTTTACTTTTGCATGCTGTTATCTTGAAATAAACTTTTAGTTTAAGGATTTTTTCAGTTTTTATGCTGATGATGCAGTGATCTCATCGGTTGTTTTGCTGGACTCCGAGTTGATGTGGCCTATGCTGGAGCCTCGAGCCCCAGTCAGGTCATTGTGTCGATTCCTTGGGAAAAGACTCGTTGGCTCCATATATCCTCCTTCCCAGGAGTTCAAATGGGCACCAACGAAAGGCTAAGGAAACCCGACAATTTGGATGAATGTAAAAACTCACGGAGGGAGAGTAGCTTTTACCCTCTTTCACTCTTTCCATTCCTCTCAAGAAACAGGGATCCAAGATGGCTATGGGAACGCACGGTGCCAAAGTTTTGATTCTGTGCCCATCAAATTGGCCAAAGCCAATTAAATATATCTGGGGTTGTATCTTCGCGATTTTATTTTGAGGGGGGGGGGGAGTGAATTGTTCTTTTTTTACTGTTTCCTTGTGTTATTTATTGTTCATGAATTTTACTTTTTTAAAGAATCAGTACACGATGGTGGAATAAAAAGGCGCGTTGGATGTGATCAGTAAAACTTTCAGGTGAGTTGAAACTTGATATGAGCACTTAATTTTTTAAATACGTTACTAGACTAGCTTTTCATTTCTAGTTTCAAATCCATCTACATTAAAGGGAGGTACATGTATTGCCTGTTTGAAATAATTTGACAGAGAACTGGACGGAAATTGGCGGAGAACTGAGTGCAGCTTGTTTGAGGACCGGACCTAGTTTTTGGATTGACTTCCATTTACGGGTAAGTGATCAACTCCACATTTTCATGAAATAGGTATTTTCGTCTTTTCTGGACCCTTCCCACGGAGGGTTCTCTTTAAAATCTTAGGCATGAAGGAGTAAGAGGATTTTACAAAGGATTAATTCCCACTGTCCTCAGGTAAGGTAGTTTGTTAAAGATAAAATTAATGATACAAGTGAATTTGATAGTTAGTTTTATGAGTTATACCGCAGTGAATAATCGAGAATTGGCCAAGAGGGCTTTGTGGGATCCCATCTTTGATTTTTGGTGGCGTTTGTAAAGAAAAGGGTCTTAAGAGATGAGATACCCCCATAAGGTGTCGAACTTATTTGTACATTCTAGACTGTGAGAAAGTGGGAAATAAAATAAATCAAGAGGCTATAAAATTGAAAGTTAGTTTTATGTAAAAGGTGTCATGTCACTGTTTTCGTCAGTTGTATTTTCGAATACTGAAATAATTGATATACTTATCCCTGTCAGAGGTTTTTATGCTCCATCTTTAGTTTTTCTTTTTTTAGTGTAAGTTTTAAAGATTTTCGGTTTTTTTTTCCGAAGTTCGGAAATCTAGTAGAGGAGCGCTGTAGAAGAAACCCTGGAACCGTAATCTCTGTGACCACATTCATTGTTAATTTTACTGAATGTTGTTTGTTTGATTGTTGTTGCTGTTTTTTTTAGAGTAACGCCAGCATGTGCACTCACATTCGTAGTGTACGAAAACGTTATTCACTTCCTCCTGCCAAACAGATGACATCGACAGGATGGATAATGCAATCCAGCAATGGAAGACGATGGGCAGAATTTTTAGCACGTGGTTTTATTACCAGTGTTTATTAAGCAACAGTTCTGACTGTTTCCATTTATAGAAAATATGTTAACCGTGCGAAGTTAACCGCCCTGTGCGTTTATACTTTTTATCGGTAACTTTATTCATCAGCGGCAGAGCATTTTATTTACAACAATGCAAGGGGTATCCATTACTATTCTTAGATCCTAAAGATAACAATGATTTCTCTCATTGTTCTTTTATTAAAAATGTCCTCCCCCCTCCTATGAATAGCATATTAATGTGCATCCCCTTAGAACTTCCCCTTAGAACTAACAAAGCCAGAAACTGCGATTTAATCAAGAAAAATGTTTACAATTATGTTAATTGTGATAGTTCTTAAAATACTTACCTTATTTTATCTTTCCAATAAATTTCTGCAATTGTTACTGAATGGTTGGAATGTAAAGTTAAAACCAGTTTTGATTGATTGATCTGTTGTTGCTTTATTGGGTTTTGGTTTCATGCATTGCCCGAACATTTCCTTGTTGTTTTTTGTTATTTTTCCCCGGTTATTCACTTAAGTCCACTTAAAAAAATGGTGAAAGCTACTCTTTCGCGACTGCTATCGAGTGAATTTCAAGAGTCTTTCGCTTAACCTTTCATCAGATAAGTGGTACCGAGAACCTACTCTGGCCCATGGACTACACTGCTCGTAACATTTACTGTTGTGTTCGTGTCATGAAACTCAGCTGAAAATAGTCCGTGTGAGGTAAATGTATTTACAAAGAGATACACAGTTTTTGTTAAATAATGAGACTACATACACGATGCACTTTTATTTACAACACGCAAGAAGCTGAGCCACAAAGGGACCCAGCTTACATCACTTAACCGTGAAAAGACCACCAACAAGTTTTCTATGTTTTGATAAGTTGTTAATAAACTCGCCCTGCTTTGCTACATTTGCTTTGTGTTGAAGTCTCTTTATGTAAATTAGAAACAAACGAACATCAAATTACTGGAAGACCAGTCTTAGAATATTGAAATATCTGGCAGTGGCCTTTGGGGGTGTGGTGGTGGATTTCTTTCCTGCGCTTATTATTTTTCATAGGATTCTTTGCATATTTTTGTTGGATAAAAAAAGGAAGATTTCGCTACGAGAAACTGAGATTTTGATTTGAAATCTAATATTCCTGTGAAAAATTTTTGGTGATGTACCTGAATAGAGTAAAAAAGTTCTTTACAACTTGTGTTTATCTTTGCTACTATAAGTACTTGTTTTTAGCACATCGCAGCTCTGTGTTACGAAAAATTGCCTAAGTAAAGTCCCAGAACATTCTAATAGAATGTTCTAGAACCCGAAGTCATCAAGACGTGACCTTCTAGTAAAAAGGAACATTCTGGAACGTTCTATTTCTTACGTAATTGTTCAAATTTAGAAACTGTGTTAATCTACTAAATTTAGTTCTTTAGAGAAGTTTCTAGATCCTTATACTTTATGTATATAAGAGCGACAGTTCCATCGAACAGAGAGAGAGATTTGCGAGGAAGCTTAGTGCTATATAATGCGTTTCTTTTTGCGTGTTTATGTTGAAGGCAAACATTAACCTTAGAAAACAGTTCAACGTTTAAAAGCTACATGCAGTTTTTAAAATTGTAAACACCTGACATGCAAGTTGCATTCGCCTTACAGGTTCATGCAATTTGGTTTGTCTTTGAAAATTTCTCGTTCTCATTTCTCCCAAATTTCACTCGAAACGCGTGATTACTTATTTCGAATGACTCCTGGTCGATTCGGCGCATTTGACACACGGTTACGACAGGCTAAACCATCGGATTTTGCTTACTGTGTGTCTGGAAATTGGTTCAAAGTTTCAAATTACTGAGTCACAATGATTAGGTTAACGTTGCGTAATCTCTTAGGACATCAGATTTTGACTAACATAACGGTTTTTTTCTACGCCTATAACTAAGATAGCGCCTGCTTGTATTCCAGTGACTTATGCTAAAACAAACCATGGTAAATAATTACGGCAATAGAGGGATGAAAAAGCGAAAAAACACAACAAATTAAAAAAAAAAGGCTCCAAAACCATAAGCTTGAGAGTTTGCGTCTTGTAGATTTTTAATTTATTTTGTAATATCCTTTGGGCAACTCTCTTTGATGACAGAGGCTATCTGATGAGAATTACCATTCTTATGAAATAAATACCTGTTTGCTATCAAAGTTAAAATCTGCTGATAATGTTTACGATAGAGAAGAAAGGTTAACTACGTCACATGTTAAAAAACCTTATACATATGTACTTACGGAGCGATTTGTGAGTTCTCTTACTACGCAAAGTATATTTGCTTCACATTCAGTCTGTACTACAGTAGCGGCAGTTATAGTAAAAAGAAATTGTGTAAAGTTTGTAGATGAAGTAGGATCCACAGTTTTTTACAAAAATATATTTTGTGCGTTTGCAACCAATAGAGCGATCACTAAAGCAGACCCTCCGGACAACTTCACCATCTTCCACTGTAGGATGAGCACCATCCAACCAGCCTGACCAGTCTGCACCACATCTGTATGCTGGCACACGTGTTGTTGGCATTTTTGTTCCTGCAGCTCCCACAAAACGATACCATCCCTCAGGGAGTAAGCAGTCACACAAAGATGGTCCATGTAACGGTGTAACGTAACTGCTCTTTCTATTGGCATCACTCAGGTTTTTATAATCGTAGCAAGGATCAGCTGCAAGGTGAAATGGCAATTGCAAAAGGACTGAGATTATTAAAATCAATGTTTCAAGATTTTCTTTAACGTCGTATAATTCTTGCAGCTTGCCGATGAGTTGTGAAACTTGTACTTAACAAGAAAAATGAGTATGCATTAATAAAGGGGTCAAGTAGTACATGTGTAGGATATCAGCACTCGAAGAGACTAAAACAGTGATATTGGAAGTCCAAGTGAATTCAGAAAGATCCAAATTCGAGCTCCTTATTTCTCAGACAGCGCATTAAAGGACAGTTCTAGGCGGAGTTAATGCACAACCGGTATCGTTTACATATGAAAAACCAATAATATGGCCGACAGTGGTCACCTCAGTGGCTTTAGGTTAGATTAGAGCAGGAATATTCTAAGAGATTGCAGTTTTGACCATTTCCATTTAATCCAAGCAGGCATTCACAAACATAGGATCCGTTGGTGTTCGTGCAGGTAGCATTCACGTGACAAGAGTGATTTCCTTTACACTCGTCAATATCTGAAAAACCATCGATGCATTTTTGCACCTTATCGTTTTTTGTGACTTATAGTCGTTCAATTCCTTTGATCATCATAAATTTTAAAACAAATGTTTCTCTTTTAGGGCTTCATAAATTAGATATTGCGAAATTGTATTTCAGCACAAATAGTTTAATTTATCAACCTGAGCGCTCTGAAACAAGCTAGGTGTAAACCATGGTTACTCTATGCCTAAACATGCATGGGTAACGCTACTTAAAATCGTGAGAATATTTACAAAAATTGGTTTTATTGGGAAATATTAATAAGGTCATCTTCAAAATTACCTGAACATGAGTGTCCATCGCCGGTGTATCCCACTTTACATATGCATTTGTAAGAACCATACGTGTTGGTACAGTTTGCATTCACATCGCAGTTACTGATGTTATATTTACATTCATCCATATCTAGAATGTGGAAAGATAAGCATTAGCTAAGTTAGAGCAACTTGAGAGGGACATCCACGCTAGAACGGATCCAAACCAAATATTCAGATAATCATATCAATAATAGTATAATTTATAATAATTTCATGTTAATGATAACTCGTAACAAATTAAAATAGCTCAGGCAAACTTATAGGACCTACCTTCGTGAACCATATCACAGTGAATCAGTTTTGCCTTTCCTTTACAAGTTGGATCCAGCCAATACTTGCCGCTTATGATGTGTTTACCTTCACTTGCCTTTATTTCGTGACAAGACAGCGCCGGTAATTCAGGGATAGAGCCTAAGGGAGCTGAAGTAAAGATATGTTTTACGTTTACTTCCTATTCTTAGTTCTTCTAGGACGGAGAAGATTTATAGAAATAGAAAGTACATAGATGGAAAAAGCTTTTATTTCTCACCTCTGCCGTTTAATCGCCGGATGTAAAACCACGCGGGTGCTGAAAGGAAATTCTCTGGTCTCGCCTCTTTGGTGCGGTTATTTAGTTCACATATTTGGTATTTTCTATTGTAGTTATAGCTTTGGCATGTAATCTCTTTTCCACATTTAACATCACAAAGATGAGGAGCCGCCACTGACCACCTTTTGAAAACAGAACGCTTGAGAGCCATTCCTTGTATATTTACTTCCGTCCTACATTGATCATTAGCTGTGACAAACTCCATGGCAGATGCGAAAATGACGAATCTTAAATGGCGGAACATCCAACACATACTTTTTTCCTTGTGCTGAATCTGAAAATATTGAGGATAAGACACAACGGGTAAATGTTGAATTCCCGCCAAGTTACATCTTACTTTGAAAACTATCTATCTATCTATCAGATGAATAATAATAATACATGTCATGGATTAATTAATGGCCCGCCCGAAAATTCGCGAGAACACTCCATAGTAGCTTGACAGGAGTAAACAAGATTCCATTATTCGAGAACGACATAAAAACTTGAGTGCAGAGATAAAGCTATAATTTGCATTTAAGTTCAGGGTCAGGCCAAGTAAATTTAGCCAAATTTACTTGTCCGGAAATGCAAACAAACTTGCGAAATTCCAGAAAAATTTTAATCACTTACTACTCAACTTGTCACTAACAATTCAGCGTCTGTGAGGTTCATTTAAATTAATGGCGCTGCAAATGTGACAGGTTTTTTTTTTGTCATCTAACTTGTTAAGTTCTTTTTATCCTTACGTTGCTTAATTTTATGATGTAGGTTGCTCCCAAATTATACCACTAAAGAATTTCTCGCGTTTCTTCCAACCCATTCGTCACCTCAAGTGCACGTACAGTTGTTTTAAAAGGAGGGACATGACTAAAAGCTATTCATGATCATTTTATACTAATAGAGACTCGCCATCATTTTTTCTGGGTTGCATGTTTTTTTTTTTGTTTTGGTCTGTTTTTTATTTTTACGCTTACTCTTTTAAACATCTTTTAGGTTTCTTATCTTAATATCACTGTGCTTGCAATTTTTCGTCAGCTGTACAAAACAATGACGCACAACTTTTGCGCTAAAGATTAAGTTTTAACGAAATGATTTGACCTCTTTTCCATGTCAGTTTATGCGAGAAGATGTGAAGTCGAACTTATGCATTGTGAATCTATCGATTGAAATGAGGCTTTTTTAGCTAAAAAAGGCCAGTTGAACGGCGGCAAACCTTTGGTCTCGATTTATTTTTAACTCTTCACATGATTTCTGTATCATTTACACGAATATCTAAGTTGTTCTTTAGAGGTAAAAAACTGTCTTGTCAATAATTTGTTTTTACATTTTTAGTTTCTTTTTTCTATACGGTTCCATTCGAGAAAGCAAATATCATAAAGTTGGAATCTTATTTATGAACGCAATATATGTTTTCTTTCCCTGATGGATATAGTCTCATTCCTTTATCAGTTTAATGTTTACACGACTTTCTAATTTGTTCTTCAGCGGTGAAAAATTGTCTTGTCGTAGGGTGTGTTGGTAAAAGATGAGTGTTCGCTCCTTTCAAGTCCTCAATAAAATATTTTGCTTCATATGTTTGAGCTCAGACGCATGGAATTTTTTTTTTAATGTGAAAATACACGGAAAAGCACGCTCGATTATACTGTTGTATTAGCGTAGAAACAACATTTTATCTCATCGTAATAATAACAGAGAATTTTACTTACCCTGAAAAGGAATAACGTATGATAAACACACAATAATTCCTTAGAGCTCCCGCACTCACCAAAGTCAGGGTGACTTGATTATCAGCTCTCAGAAACTTTCAAGCCTGAAAGATATATATTGCACCTGTGCTCAAAAACGAATGCCCTCAAACATTTCAGACTGATGTGTTGACACACTTAAGAAAAGTCCCTATGGTTCCATGACCAAAAATTGCGAATTTTAAATATTGATGCCCTAAGGACATTTGTTTTTAATCAGTTTATAGAATGGAAATTACCCGAACCTCCTCATGAGGTCTCTGTTATAGGAAAGACGCTCTGTGGACGCAAATTACAACCGACTGAGAACAGCTGTGCGGCTTGAAGATAATTAAGTCCTGAAGATTCCATTTCTCAAAGCAGAAAAGAAGTACTATCGGTCAAGCAATTTGAACCTTATTATCTAACTATTTATTCCCCAAAAATATATTTTGACTGAACTTAGTTATCAACAATTGAGCGAAAAGAAGTATTGAGTCATTATCCAAAGTGAATCTCATGATTCCGTTCTTTCCGAAACCTATTTGAAAGCTATCAATTGGTTTTTTTTTAACGTAGGTGCTAGTTTTAAAGACTACTCCAACCCTCTGAACATACATAATAAAGCAATTTCTCACATCAAATTTAGCGCAATTTTTTTTAATTTGATCTCTTCGAAGGCACTGCAAAACCCTAAAACCTCTGAGTAAATAGGAATTCGACCATCATCGTCTTAAAACAAACACACAGGTCTTCCCAAGGTGATATTTTTTAGGGAGCATGCTTGAAGCTCCTGTATTGAAAAAAATGTCCCTATGGATTTATCGTAGCTTTTTAATGTTCTATGTGATAAATTTTGGCCATATTTTGTAACTGTGAGATTTTTGGAAAGTGATATCTTCACCGCCACATCGAATTCGTTTGGACGATTTTTTTCTTTTATTCTTTTCTCAAAAGGAAGAATTTGTATATTCCAAATAGTTTAAATAAAGTTTTTCATTCTTGGAGTGTTAACTAAAAACTGGCTTACCTGTTTAGGTGCAACACCTTTCCTGTAAGAAATTAAAAACATTTCTAAAAGGATGCTGTCATAAGCATTTGTTGTCTTATATTTCTTTAATTGCAGTCACAGCAGTCAATAGAAAAACTTTTATCAATAACTCATTTCTTACACCTGTCTGGTCCATGAGAATACATGTCTTTTTTTTTCTTTTTTTTTCTTCTCAAAAGGAAGAATTTGTATATTCCGAATAGTTTAAATAAAGTTTTTCATTCTTGGAGTGTTAACTAAAAACTGGCTTACCTGTTTAGGTGCAACACCTTTCCTGTAAGAAATTAAAAACATTTCTAAAAGGATGCTGTCATAAGCATTTGTTGTCTTATATTTTTTTAAATGCAGTCACAGCAGTCAATAGAAAAACTTTTATCAATAACTCACTCCTGTCTGGTCCATGAGAATACATGTCTTTTTTTTTTCTTCTCAAAGGGAGGATTTGTATATTCCAAATAGTTTAAATAAAGTTTTTCATTCTTGGAGTGTTAACTAAAAACTGGCTTACCTGTTAAGGTGCAACACCTTTCCTGTAAGAAATTTAAAACATTTCTAAGAGGATGCTGTCATTATCAATAACTCATTTCTTACTCCTGTCTGGTCCATGAGAATATATATCTGTTTTTTTTCGGGCTTGGAACGGTTTAGAATTTATTTGCAAATATCGGAACGTTTCGTAGCAGTATAAGTGTCTCGAGTGTTACTTTTGGTGGATAGAAACATATTTCGTTTTCTTAAACTTGCCATCCGCCGCTAGAGAATGTAAATTACCAATTAAGAAAAGGACTCCGTTAGGTCCTGAAAGGTAGAATAAGAATAAGGAATAACACGCTTTTGTTTCTTACAGGCACGCGGTTTTTATGCAACAAATAAGTAATTATGAGCTCAAATAAACGATTTAATTCATACACATCGAACCTCTACACTTTTATTTAATTCAGTTATACTTTATTTTCGTATCATCATTATGTTATAAACTATTTCGTGGACACGAGTCGTCAAGTGTAAACAATTTCATAAACTTAAACAAAAAGGGACGTGTGAATGAAAACGTTAAAATTTAACGGGAGAAAAGGCGTCCTGTATTGTTGAGATATGAATAAAGAGAGAACACCTGCACGTCTTTAAGTGAATTCCGTGTTACATAAGTTTGAAAAGGAACAAAGAAATGCTTGTTTTTTCGGCATCATTCAAAATCGAAGAAAAAGGAGTTTAAAACTATTCAATTTAAAAAGCATGGTGTTTTCAATATTTTTATATTTAAACTGTATTTGTAGACACAGTAGACAATTCCAGTCGCATTTCTGCGAAGTTCTCGCGATTAATTATACTTGATTTCTTATCGTGATGGCTTGAAATATATTTTCAAATATCATAACACACAGCAAGAATCTTGCGGTTGTAACCAGCAATAATTCTTTAAAACAAAGAAAACCCTTCATTTTTTCACAGCAATGATAGCTGGAATCGACCTCACCCCAAAGGAATGATGAAAAAATTAACACGAAGCAAGAAAGGATATATTCTCTTGCACGCAATTTTCTTTATAACTCCTCGCCCTCAGCAACGTCACGAGAATCGATTATCATTTCTCATGGGCTATTAAGCTAAGACATGTCGAGCTTCTGCTCAAAGCAGATGCTCGTAAATAGTTCAGCATAATACGCTGACATATCATAGTATGGTACTTTGCAGCTTGTTTACGAAATGCAGAGGCCGAGGCTGACTTACATAACTTATACAGGGTTTGCTCTATTTGCAAAACATGCTCAGTTAAAATATTGATGCAGTGAGTTCATTATTAATATCATCATTTTTTTGATCGGGTGAAAATAGTACACGATTACTTCAGAGTTCATAGAGAGGAGTTTACACTACTGTTAAAAAGACTCCTTAGTCGATATTTGTTGCTATGGGTTCTGTCACAACCACAGGCGGCCCAAGCTCACGTCTCGAGAAAAAGCCATCGATGAATTAATGAACGCGTCACGCGTTGTTTGTTTCGGTGTTAAGTTACGAGAGGAACCGTTGAAAATTTGAACACGTTATAAGAAATAGTATGGGGAACGAAATGTGGTCGATTTACAACGATAAATATTTCGAAATATGAACATTTTTCACGTAAAATCAATAAAACGTACCCACATCCTGTGTGCCCGTTGTAGTTTCTGGTGATTTCTGCCGTTTAAGCTTGCTTTACCATCACTGTCATTCATATCTTTTGACATGAATGACAAGAAAGGCAACTGGACTCTTTAGAATTCTCATTAGCCGTAATTATTTAAAAAATTAAACGACTTTTCAAGTGTAGGGGACCATGCGTACCGCATAAAGGAGTACAAAGAGAATATAATCACACCCCAAGCAGCCATTAGCGTAATAAAGGAGTGAAACTCACTACATCCTGAAGTCATGCTTGATTGGTATTTAGATATTCGGTGTACTCTTCACGTACGAACGGGGTATTTTCATATCACAATACGGGATATAACCTTTTTTTTATCCGTAGGTATTGGGTGTATATGTTCTGAAGTCAAGAAATTTGAGTCAAGTTGACCAATTTGGTCAAATTGCGTCGTTTAAGAACAAATGCGTCGTTAAAGTACAAATTAAAAGAACCCCTCTATACTTTTTCAGCGAATTGTGCTTTCCATGAACCTAAAAAATTTGAGACGAAAGAATAAGAAAATCACTAAAAACACTGCTTGTTAATGAAAAAACCTCGAAAATTCGATGGGTGAAATAACAATCACAGGACGGAATCCCACGTTTCCGCATTTTTTTAAGGTGACGGAAACACAGAGCATCACGTTCCCGCGACATTTAAGCTTTGCGGAAACGTTTTATACCAAGTCTTGGCGATTCTATCAAGTACTAATACTGATGCATCAAATAAAATGTCAGGACTTGTCTCTCTTTGGACTAAGATCTTAATGAGCTAACCTTTTTATATAAAAAGAAAACTTGGCCAATTTTTAAGCCTTATTTTTTATTATTTTATTTTAACCACAAAAATAAAAAAAAAACCTTGTTTATTGTAAAAATGTTCTGTAATCTCATTGTACGGTTAGGAACCTTGTAATGAAAATTATCTGCTATTTCAGTTAATGCTTAAGCTTGTGTTTCCATCTCAAAGATCGTCTCTTTTTTTTGGTAATGGTGACAGATTAGACAAAAAATCGTGGTTAAAATGTAGAATTTATTTTAAAATCGAGACTTTAAGGCGTGGTGTATATCTGGCGAGAACAAACCAGAGTCATGTGAGACCGAGCTGATGTATTTTCATCACATGGAAACACTAGGCAACAAGCAACTCAAGGGAATTATATCTTGTTTAACATGAAAATAACAACTGAGCATTCCAAAAAGTGGTATTCATGGCAATTCTTAAATATTTAAGAGAGCAATGGTTTTGTTTTTTAGTTGTGTATTGCACCCAACCCTCTCTCTTCCCCCCTTCCCTTGCTTTGCTTGTTTCAAACACTGGTAATTAGTGAGGCTACATAAGACTCCATTTTCTTAAATGAAGTACTAGTTATAAATGTGAATCAAATTGTATCATTTCTTGTGATATCGTAGCAAATTAAAAAAGAATGATGTACAATATCGGTTAAACTGTTTCAGAGCAAAGTACTCGAAGTATATTTGCTTCATATTCAGTCTGTACCACAGTAGCGTGATTCACAACCAGGTGGGTGAAAAAGTTTGTAGATGAAGCAGGATCCGCAGTTTTTTACAATAATATCATTTGAGTATTTGCAACCAATAGAGCGATCACTAAAGCAGACCGTCCTTTGAACTTCGCCATCTTCCACTGTAGGATGAGCACTAATCAACCAGCCTGACCAGTTTGTACCACATCTGAATGCTGGCACACGCGTTGTTGGCATTTTTGTTCCTGCGGCTCCCACAAAACGATACCATCCCTCAGGGAGTTGGTAGTCACACAACTCTGAACCGAAAGGTGTGTCGTAACTTATCTTTCTATTGGCTTCACTCAGGTTTTTATAATGTAAGCAAGGATCGGCTGCAGGGTGAAATGAAATTTGCAAAAGGACTGTAGGTATTAAAATAAATGGTTCAAGATCTTTTCTAACGTCTTATAATTCTAGCAGCTTGTCGATCAGTGGTGAAACTTGTACTTAAGAAGAAAAGTGACTTTACATTAATTAAGGGGCTAAGTATTACATGTCAAATCCCGGTCTAGCGTAATTGTTCTTTCTATCGGCATCACTCAGGTTTTGATGATAATAACATGGGTCGGCTATTAAAATGAATAAATATTACAAAATGTTGCAGTACCAATGATAACATTTTTTTGTTGTTGACATTTTTCAAGTCAATCAGTTCGATAACAACCAGATAGGACTTCCGTGTTACAAGAACAACTATGCATTAAATTAATTTTTAAGGGAATTTTGCGTTGGACAATAATGATGCAGTAAAGAACTAAAATGAAATGATAGTATTATAAAGAGTTATGTTTCCTCTTGCTTTAATCGCCCATCAAAGCCTGTAGTTGTTTGTACCTCAACTGAATGCTACCAAATGCGCTTAAGACATTTTTGATCCTCACCTCCCACACAACGATACCAGCCCAGAGGTATTTGGTAACAACACAATTATTTCCCATGACTGTGTAAGAACTCTCTGCCTATTGGCATCATCCAATTATTTATAACCATAGCGCAAATTGGCTTGCAAAAGTCAAACGAATTTGATTGATCATACCTGTTATTATGGGGGAATCTTTTAAGGTTAGAGTTTCTTAACAGTTTTTTAGTTCCACGTAGTGTGTCATGTCTGCATCATGTAAAAGTTCGTGTAAGGTTTTAAAAACATAATCAAAATTTACAAACATTGAAGCGATCTTCGCAGTTTTGAACACTACTAAACTAGCAGTAGCAGTGCACATATATTATTTTCATATGATCACATTAATGTATTCACCAATTAGATGGTTTATTTGTAACCAGCAGCTCCCAGTTAGCCTGTTAGCTCAGTTGGTAGAGCGTTGCACCGGTATCTAAAGGTCATGGGTTGAAATCCCGTTCGGACCTGAATTTTTTCGGGCCTTATTTTCACTACTAGTTCAGTGGTATTCATAACTGCGAGGATCGCCTCTATATTCGTTTCTTCAACCGCAGTGCACATGTATGATTTTCATATATTTATAGTCATGTATAATCAAAAGTTGTTTCGTTTTTGTGCACAAGGGAGCGTAAAATTATGCCTCCTCGATGTGAATTTCGAATGAAAGTCAGGTCTAAGCCAATTTACTGCTATGTTTAACGTGGGAAACAAAATATAGATTTCATCGCCTTCATGAAAAACCAAACTAACCTTTACATTCAAAACCATCCCCAATATACGTAGGATTGCAAGAGCAGTTGTATGAGCCCTGGGTATTAGTGCAAGATGCATTTGGATGGCATCCGTTCATTTTGACGGTATGAGCTTAAATGAACGGATGGCATCCGTTCATTTGCTGCATTCGTCAACGTCTGAGAGAAAACAATTAATTTTCCATGGGTTTATAGGTGCAATCAACGATGGGTTTTTGACCAATCACGGCGCTACCAGTATCTTGATTATTTTATAAAACTTGATGATAATAATTTCCAACTTTTTCCCTCAAATATGTCTTAAGCGTCAACAAAAACTCAGTGCCATGCAAAATCACTCACATATCCATCTTGTTTTCATGCTTTTGTCAATCATTGATGTAACGTTCAATTAAAAGTAGAATATCAATTATATCAGTCCCCAAATTTGTTCATTCAAAAGTCAGGAACATTACCTAAAAGGTCCTTAACATGAGAAAGGGCTGCTTAATTAAAACAAGTTATGACTGAATGATCAATTATCTTATTTTCTTGCGACGCGGCTGAATGGTGCGGCGCTGTTGTCGAATGTGTCATGCAGGACTATTCCAAATATTATAGCAAAGAGATTAAATTCACCTCTGCAGTTTTGTCCATTTCCAGTATATCCAGGCTGACATTCACATACATGTGATCCAAGGGTGTTATTGCACTTAGCATTCACGTGACAGGAGTGATTTCCTTTACACTCGTCAATATCTGAGAAACCGTAAATGCATTTTGCACTTTATTTTCTTCACCTAACGATTTGTAATTACTTTAATCATTTCAAATAATAAGTAAAAGCTTTCACTTTTTCGTCTTTAACGAACTAGACTTTTGAAACGTGCAACCTAGATATTATATTCTCTTCTCTAATGTTTTTTTTTAATTTCCTAACATTATGGCTCTGAAAAAAACCGGATGTAGATCATGGCAACTCCGTGCATAAACATGTATGGGTAATGCTGCTTAAAAAGACAAAACTTAACAATAGTAGGACAGTAGTTCCCGCTAAAATTGCGTTGTGTAATGCTAAGGCTTCTCTGATATAGCATGCAAACTATTATTGGTCTGTTATTCACTCACTCGATTGCAGATAGCTCAAATGTAATTCCAGTGTTTTTAGGCGAAAAATAATAATTAAATGTTGTACCTCGGCATATCTGTAACTATTTTACCTGAGCACGAGTGTCCATCCCCAGTAAATCCGTCTTTGCAGGTGCAATTATAAAACCCAACAGTATTGGAGCAGTTTGCATTTTCGTCACAAACTTTATTGCTGCCTTTACATTCATCGATGTCTATTTGAAAATTAATCGAAGAAATCATTGAGACAAGGTGAAAACATTTCACAAAAGGCCAGGGCAAAGGTAGACCAAACGCTGTGTAAATTATATTCTTGGTATACTGACTTACCTTCCAAAATCATGTCGCAGTAAATCAAATTTGAGCTCCCGACATTAGTTGGATCCAACCAATACTTTTTACTAATGCTGTCTTTACCTTCACTTAATTTTATCTCTTTGCACGATAACGCTGGTAATTTAGGAATAGATCCTAAGGGGGCTAATATATAGACATGACTTCACTAATGGTTTAAGGGTAATAGAAGTTGCAAAACAGATTACATCTGAAAATATGTTTGTCCAGGCAAGATAAACATGGAATAACAATAATTAAGAGCTGAGAAGTTTAGCTGATATCAGTGTATGTATGGAAGGCGAATTTTGCTATAAGACACTGGCCCTATTTAATAGCAAAGCAATCGGACACCAGCTCTCGGAAAGTAGCGAGGTCTTACTAGGAACTCACTGAGAAAGATTTGTATATAAAATAAAAAAATAAAATAAAACCGGATACATACTTCTACCACTAATGCGTCCCATGTAAAAGCGTAAATCATCTGGCTGAAAATTCATTTAATGTCTGAATTTTCTCAAACAATTTGTTCGTAGTGAAAGAGCGAGCGAAGTTTTAATTTCAGTTCGACAATAAATATACGCTCTCGGTGAGTCTTAAAGTCCGTCCAATTTGGACATTTGGACCTTAAATTGCACAACAGAAACTGAAGGAATTTATTGAGAAAAGGCCGCGTTAAATCCCCTTGTGTCTCGTTGGAGTGTGCCGTTCGAATTTCGTTTTTGTGGAGGAAAGACCAGATTTACATACGCCGTTGAAGCAAACAAACGAGCAATCACAATTACTTTCCTGGCCGTTTACTTAATGAACAGAGGTAAATCTTCGTACATGAATGAATCGTCGATGAGAGTGAATAATACTTTCCGTTATATCATTGATTGTTTTTGAAGAAAACATTGTCGCGACAGTCCTTGCCAAACTAGTTCCGTTGTTTTTCAAATCTTCTTGCGCTTTTTTTTCTTACGCGCTCTCTAATTGACAGGTGTCAGATTGTGACAGATACTTGTAAAAATAATGTTTCAAACTTTGTTTGGAAGCCTTTTAAATCACCTTTATTTACGCAAGTGAAAATGTTTCAGAACAACATCTCTCCTTAATTTCTATCACCTATACTTTAACTACCATTTACTCGCTCAGAAATTGTTCAGTTTATGGAAGATCTTGCCGTATTTATTGCCCTAAATCATTCGGGTTCTTTCAGATTGTGTATCGTTAAGTTTAAAAAAAAAATGTTATTTACCGGCTAAGGGTCGGTCCGTATGGTGAAAAACTGTGACCTCCGCCAGCATTTTCAAGACCTCGGTCACAGTTTTTCACCATACGGACCGACCCTTAGCCGGCAAATAACATATATTTATCGCGATATTATCCAATGCCCAAGCACACCATTTCGATCTCCTGCTGCTTCAAGGTAGCGTTGTAGCGCTCTTTTGTATTACCAAGCCAAGAAAAAAGCTAGAAGCCATAAGTAGACTTAACACACGTAAACAAAACTGAAAAGGCTAATATGTCTAAATTTCGAGACCAGAACACGATGTCAATTTCACAATAAACCGTGCGCATGGTGAAAAGTCAATCGGCTCATTTTACTTCATATTTCATGGTTGTTCAAACAAAACTTACGCTTCCCTTGAATCAACATCACCCACTTCAATTATGATAAAGCAGCGGCAAAAAAAAGCGGTGATCTCTCTTCGTAAACGTTTCTTTGGACCTCGAAACAGCCTTTCGACATACATCTATTTCTAGAGAGTTGTAATGTTTGCCCCGTGGCGTTCCCAGAAATCTTTGCGAAAACACAAGGATCCGATTGCTGGCAACTCATTCATCGGTTTGCATAAGTCAAATAAGGATCATAGCTGCTATTATTATTATTATTATTATTAGGGAATCTTTAAAGCTTTGGGATTCTTGAAGGTTTTTTAGTTCCACGGAGAGTTTCATGTCTGCATCGTGTAAAAGTTCGTGTATGGTTGTTAAATCATTTAAAACATAATCAAAAAATGATTCGTTTTTGTACACAAGGTAGCATAAAATTATGCTTCCTCGATGTGAATTTCGGAGGAAAGTCAACTCGTAGGAATTTACTGCTACTTTCAACGCGGGAAAAAAATAAAATTTCATTGCCTTCGTGAAAAACCGCTGCTTATATTACGACTTATGAGTGAACGCGGCTGAATGGTGCGGCGCTGGAGTCAATTATGTCATGAATATTCCGGAAAGAGATTAAATTCGCCTGTGCAGTTTTGTTCATTTCCAGCATATCCAGGGTGACATTCATATACATGTGATCCAAGGGTATTCATGCATGTAGCATTCACGTGATAGGAATGATTTCCTCTACACTCGTTAATAGAGTGGTTTAGCAAGAGGACGGGAACGTCATTTCAGAACGGCGCGCGCAGCAAAAATGCCGAGAAAAAACTGGGTCGAGAAGACCGTCGCGTTGTGTTGAAAAGTGACTTAGCAGTCGTTTCAACGAACCGTCCACGTTATATTTGTTCTTGAATATCCTAACCTTGGCTCTTTCGGATCATTATCAGCCTTGAATTTTCGGTTTCATAGACCACTTGAAGGACAACGAAATTATCCTCTTTGAGAGTGTAACGACAAGCACAAACCGAGGATAGTTTACTACAAGTGAGTTGTTAATATAAATCCACATGGGCGATTAAACTTTGAAATTATTTCATTTCAGTTAAGTCTCGAGTCTGCAGATTCATCTATCAAATTTTGAAGCCCACTAAATATATTTTTTTCTATGATTTGTATCGCTGTCATTTCGTTTCGTGCTTCTAGATTTCAGCACTACTGGTTTTTCTTCATAATTTTGTAAAGTATAATTTGGAATTGAAATCGTCGCCATTTTTTCCCTTGTTTACTGAATATTCTTCTCAATCATGACAGTACACCTCTTTTAAGCAGGAGTCATGGCGAAACATGTAGAGATCAAGCGACCCAACGATGGAGTTGTTTACAATGAGTTCCCGTTTAACCATGAACGAATGAAATGCACTCAAACTCAGCGAAATGACGTCCTGAACTTGATGGGGAGAACGGCAACGCTAACACCGGAAGTCGAAATAGAGTCGTGTCCAGATTATCCGCGCGCTTTCCTGTTCTGAAATGACGTTCCCGTCCTCTTGCTAAACCACTCTAATATCTGAGAAACCGTAAATACATTTTGCACTTTATTTTTGTCGTCTAACGATTTGTAATTACTTTAATCATTTCAGATAATAAGAGAAAGCTTTCTCTTTCTTTGTCTTTAACGAGCTTGAAATTTGAAACGTGCAACTTAGATGTTATATTCTCCTTTCCAATGTTCTTTTTTATATCTCCTAACATCAAGGCTCTGAGACAAACCGGAAGTAGATCATGGCAACTCCGTGCATAAGCATGTATGGGTAATGCTGCTTAAAAAAACAAAACTTAGCACTGGTAGGACGATAGTTCCTGCTAAAATTGCTTTATTTAATGCTATGGATCCACAGATATAGCATGCAAGTTATTATTGGTCTGTTATTCACTCACTCGATTGTAGATAGCAATTGCTTAGAATTAAACATTGTAACTCGCATGTCTTTAACTACTTTAAGGCTTTGAGACTAAAACAGTGATATTGGAGATCTAGATAAACTCATCAGGATCCGAATTTGAGCTCCTTCTTTTTCAGACAATGCATTAAAGGACAGCTGTAGGCAGACTTAGGGCACAACCGGTATCGTTTACATAAGAGAAACTAATAATATGGCCACCTCAGCAGCTTCAGGTTATATTCGAGCAGGAATATTCTAAATATTATAGCAAAGAGATTAAATTCACCTGTGCAGCTTTGACCATTTCCATTAAATCCAGGGTGGCATTCACAAAGATAGGATCCGTTGGTGTTCGTGCAGGTAGCATTCACGTGACAAGAGTGATTTCCTTTACATTCGTCAATATCTGAGGAAACCACATATATATTTGCACTTCATCATGTTTGTCACTTTAAAAATGAGCGGACTCTCAGTCGAGTGATTACTTTGATAATCATACATAATAAAACAATTTTTTCTCTTTTTGTGTTCCACGAATTAGATATTTGAAACGTATATTTTATCACGAGTATTTCAGTTTATCAAGCTATCGGCTCTGAAACAACTGGCTTGTTCCTGCTGCTCCGACAAAACGTACCATCCCTTGGGGGATAGGTCGTCACAAAACACTGGACCAAATTGCGGTGTAGCGTAACTACTCTTAATATTGGCATCACCCAGGTTTTGATAATTATAGCAGGTAATTTAGTGTTAACAACCGAGTTGAAAACGTAAATTTGCCACCGTAAAGGGTAAAAAAGCTGACGTTTCGAGCGTTAGCCCTTCCTCAATCACTGATAGCATTACAAAGAGTCATGTTTCCTTTTGCTTTAATCGCCCATTTAAGTCTGAGTTGTATGTACCTCTACTGTATGCTACCAAATGCGTTTAAGACATTTTTGATTCTCAGCTCCCGCACAACGATGCCAGCCCCGAGGTATTTGGTAGTAACACAATTATTTCCCAGGAGTGTGTAATTTCTCTCTGCCTCCTTAAGGTTTCCTTTCGTTCTATGAAAAGGGTCAGATAAGGTCAGAGAAAAATATACAATCCCTTCAGGACTCAACCTACCATTTCTTTTCGATTTTTTTCCTTCCCCAATATTTTTCTTACCTTATCAACTGAGTTGATAATGCAAATTGGCCTCTGTAAAGAGTTTCAAAGCTGACGTTTCGAGCATTCGCTGTAACACTCTTTACGGTGGCCAATTTACCTCATCAACTCAATTGATAATACTAAATTACCCTGTTGCACTCTCCCACCGACGCAGCACCGCAGTTCTTGTAGAACCTACATTTATCGCTCTTTCTCTCAGTTTACTGGCGATATAATCCACGCTGGATTTTGTGAGAACGAGCTGGAGGCGACTGATCTACTTTTTTTTCGAATGGTTTCCCAACATCTGAAGACGTTTACTACGCTGGTAAACCGATAGAAAGTGCGGTCTGTTACTTTAATAACATATATAAACTTCAATTTTCCACAGGTTTACCGGTGCAATCAACGATTGTTTTTTGACTAATCAGGGCGCTCGTAGTATCTTGACTGTTTTATAAACTTGATGATAATAATTTTCAACTTTTTCACTCAAATATATCTTGAGTGTCAACGAAAACGTAGCGCCTTGGAAAATCATTTACATATCAATCCTGTGCAGAGGGTTCAGAGCCAGACGAACGATTTTATTTTCATGCTCCGTCAGTCATTGTGATAAGGTTAATTTTAAAGCAGAACAACGCATCAGTCACCAAAATTGTTCATTTAAGAGTCAGGAACATTATCTAAGAGGTTCTTAACATAAGAAATGGCTGCTTAAATCAAAACCAGTAACGAGTAATAAATTACCTAATTGTCTTGCAACGCGGCTAAATGGTGCGGCGCTGTAGCCGGAAAGCATACAGGACTATTAAAAATATTGTAGCGAAGAAATTAAATTCACCTGTGCAGTTTTGTCCATTTCCAGTATACCCAGCATGACATTGACATACATGTGATCCAAGGGTGTTCATGCATGTAGCATTCACGTGACAAGAGTGATTTCCTTTGCACTCGTTGATATCTGTAAAATCGTAAACGAACTGTAATTAAAAAAAAAGTTGCCGAGTATAACGTAAGAAACCCTAGTCTTGTTGTCTTGTGGTTCCAGACGCAAATGCTTCACACAACCACTCACCAGATTTTTTTCTCGGTTCCCCCAAGTTCAAATCTGTTCCTATCTATCAAGTCTCCCTTTACCAGTGGAGATTTTTTACCTTACACAGAATGTTTACTTAACCACCTAACTCCCTTTAATGACCAAGAAAGAAATTCTCCTTACCAAATCATTACAATATCAAACAGACAAGTGACGAGAATAAGGAAAAATATCAGCTTGGGGATTATCAGTAGATTCAATACCAAATTCTTAGAACTGACATCATAAGAATTGTGTGGCAGACAGTAAGCAGAATTACTGATGAGATGTTAGGAGTGAAATGGTCAATACAAGGTATGCTGGTAAAACAAGTCTCGCAAATATGATAGTGCTTTTCTTTCTGATGGAAATGGTTTCAAAAGAAATGCATCAAGTACCTGTGCAGTCGCTTCCATTTCCAGTATATCCTGGGTGACAAGTACAGACATACGATCCTTTGGTGTTCATGCATGTAGCATTTACGTGACAAGAGTGATTTCCTTTACACTCGTTAATATCTGTAAAATGATAACATAAAAAAAGAATACATTTTAAAATATGCAATTGTGAAGAAGTTACCGAGCATACGCTTAGAAACCTTAGTCTTGTTTTCTTGGGTCCTAGACGCAAGCACTTCACTTTAGCGCTCACTAGATTTTTTTCTTGGTTTCCCGCGAGTTTAAATCTGTTGTTCTGTCCTGTAAGCACATCCATCAAGTCCCCCTTTGCCAGTTGAGATTTTTTTTACCACTGAACGTTTATTTAATACAATTGTGTCATTATCAACATTGTCTTCAGACCTACATTCATCTCTTTTTTACACAAGGTATGCTGGCAAAACAAGTCTTGCAACGATGATAGTGCTTTTCTTTCTGATGGGAATGGTTACAGAAGAAACGCATCAAATACCTGTGCAGTTGTGTCCATTTCCAGTATATCCGGGGTGACAAGTACAGACGTACAATCCTTTGGCGTTCGTGCAGATAGCATTCCCGTGACAAGAGTGATTTCCTTTACACTCGTCAATATCTGAGAAACCATTTGTATATTTGCACTTTATCACGTTATTCATTTTAAAATGGGTCTCAGTCGTGTAATTACTTTAATAATTGTAAACAACAAAACTCGTGTCCTTTTTTTTTTGTTTGCTTTACAAATTAGATATTTGAAGCGTATATTTCATGGCGAATATTACAATTTATCAACCAGACCGCTCTGAAACAGTTCCTGCTCCGTCACCCCCCCTCCAAAAAAAAAAAAAAAAAAAAAGAAAAACAAATTCCGCGGGGAGTAAGTTGTCACAAAACAGCTTACCAAATTTTGATGTAGCTTAACTGCTCTTTCTGATTAGCGTCACCCAGGTTTTGATGAATTTGGGTTAGAGAATGATGATGCACAAAGGAACTAAAATGAAATGATAGCTCTATGTAGAATTACATTTCCTCTTGCTTTAATCGCCCATCAAAGCCTGAGTTGTTTTCACCGGCTCAACTGGATGCTACCAAATGCGTTTAAGACATTTTTGATCCTCAGCTCCCACACAACGATACCAGCCCAGAAGTATTCGCTAGTACCCAATTATTTCCCAGGAGTGTGTAATAACTCTCTGCCTACTAGCATCATCCAATTATTTGTAATCATAAGGCCAATTGGCTTGCGTAAGTCAAATAAGTTTGATTGATCATAACTGCTCTTTTTATAAAGGAATCTTGGAAGGTTAGAGATTCTTTTAGGGTTTTTAAGATCCACGGAGAGTGTCATGTCTGTATCACATTAAAGTTTGTGTAAGGTTTTTAAATCATTTAAAACATAATCAAAAGTTGGTAATTTAGTGTCCACAACTGGGTTGAAAACGTAAATTGGCCACCGTAAAGAGTAAAAAGGCTGATTAGCACTTGTTACTCTTTACGGTGGCCAATTTATATTTTGAACTCAGTTGTTAACTAAATTACCTGCTATACTCTCCCACCGACGCGGCACCAAAGTTTCTTTAGAAACTTCCCCCCTATAACAATTAATTTTGACCAATCAGTGCGCTCATATTATCTTGACTATTTTATAAAACTTGATGATAATAATTTTCAACTTTTTTCTTTCAAATATATCAGCGAAAACGTAGCGCCATGGAAAGTCACGTACATATCTATCATGTGCACAGGGTTCAGAGCCAAACGAGCGATTTTATTTTCATGACTTTGTCAATAACTTGTTTAGAGTCCATTAAAAGCAGAGTAACAGTGCATCAGTTACCAAAATTGTTAATTTAAAAGTCAGTGACATTACCTAAGTGGTTCTTAACACGAGAAACGACTGCTTAAATCAAAACCAGTAATGAGTAATAAATTATCTAATTGTCTTGGAACGCAGCTGAATGGTGCAGCGCCGTAGCCGGAATCCATACAGGACAATTAAAAATATTGTAGAGAAGAAATTAAATTCACCTGTGCAGTTTTGTCCATTTCCAGTATATCCAACATGACATTGACATACATGTGATCCAAGGGTGTTCACGCATGTAGCATTCACGTGACAAGAGTGATTTCCTTTGCACTCGTTAATATCTGTAAAATCATAAAAATAACCAAAAAAAAAAAAAACAAACAAACTGTAATTGAAAAAAAGTTGCCGAACATAACGTAAGAAACCCTAGTCTTGTTGTCTTGTGGTTCCAGACGCAAGTGCTTCACACAACCACTCACCAGATTTTTTTCTCGGTTCCCCCAAGTTTAAATCTGTTGTTCTGTCCTGTAAGCCTGTCTATCAAGTCTCCCTTTACCAGTGGAGATTTTTTAACTTACACTGAATGTTTACTTAACCATCTAACTTCCTTTAATGACCAAGAAAGAATTTCTCCTTACTAAATCATTACAATATCAAACAGACAAATGACGAGAATAAGAAAAAATATCAGCTTGAGGATTATCAGTTGATTCAATACCAAATTCTTAGAACTAACATCGTATGAATTGTATGGTAGACTGTAAACAGAATTACTAATGAGATCTTAGGAGTGAAAAGGTCAATACAAGGTATGCTTGTAAAACAAGCCTCGCAAATATGATAGTGCTTTTCTTTCTGATGGAAATGGTTTCAAAAGAAATGCATCAAGGTTAATTCCTTTGATCCTCAAAAATTTTTGAAACAAATTTAAAAAAATGCAATCGGGAAGAAGTTGCCGAGTATAAACTTAGAAACCTTAATCTTGTTTTCTTGGGTCCTAGACGCAAGCACCTCACTTTAGCGCTCACTAAATTTTTTTCTTGATTCCGCGCGAGTTTAATCCATTGTTCTGTCCTGTGAGCCCATCCATCAAGTCTTCCTTTGCCAGTTGAGATTTTTTTCCCCTGAATGTTTATTTAAAACAATTGTGTCATCATCAATATTGTCTTCAGGTCTACATTCATCTCTTCTTAATACAAGGTATAATGGCAAAACAAGTTTTACAACGATGATAGTGCTTTTCTTTCTGATGAAAATGGTTACAAAAGAAACGCATCAAATACCTGCGCAGCCGCGTCCATTTTCAATATATCCGGGGTGACAATTACAAACGTACGATCCTTTTGTGTTCGTGCAGATAGCATTCATGTGACAAGAGTGATTTCCTTTACACTCGTCAATATCTGAAAAATCATCGATACATTTTTGCATCTTATCGTTTTTATGACTCATAGTCGGTTAATTCCTTTAATCATCACAAATTATAAAACAAATGTTTCTCTTTTAGTGCTACATAAATTTCAGCACAAATAGTTGAATTTATCAACCTGACTATTCTGAAACAAGCAAGATGTAGAGCATGGTAACTCTGTGCATAAATGCGTGCATGGGTAACGCTGCTCTAAATTATGACACGATTTACAAAAATTAGTTTTATTTAGAAATATTAATAAGGTAATCTTCAAAATTACCTGAACATGAGTGTCCATCGCCAGTGTATCCCACTTTACATGTGCATTTGTAAGAACCATACGTGTTAGTACAGTTTGCATTCACGTCGCAGTCACTGATGTTAAATTTACATTCGTCCATATCTAGAATGTGGAAAGAGAAGCAGTGACTAAGTTAGAGCAACTTGAGAGAGACATCCTCCATAGAACTGATCCAAACCAAATATTACGATGATGATATCAATAATAGTATAATTTATAATAATTTCATGATACCTATAACTCGTTACAAAATAAAATAACTCATTCAAACTCATAGGACCTACCTTCGTTAACCATATTACAGTAAATCAGTTTTGCCTTTCCTTTCCCAGTTGGATCGAGCCAATACTTGCCGCTTATGGTGTGTTTACCTTCACTATCCTTTATTTCCCGACAAGACAGCGCTGGTAATTCAGGGATAGAACCTAATGGAGCTGAAGTAAAGATAGACCATCTTTTGAAGACCGAACACCTGAGAGCCATCCCTTCTATGTATACATTGTTCCTACATTGATCGTCAGCTGTGACAAACTCCATGGCAGAGGCGAAGAGGAGGAATCTTAAATTTTGGAATATCCACAACATACCTTTTACTTGCATTTAATCTACAAATATTGAGGGTAAGACACCATAAGTACATGTTTAATTCCCGCCTAGATACAGCTAACTTTG